ATATATATATATATATATATATAACTTCCCCGTACTTAATACGGGGTCATTCACTAGTTTAGAAGAGTAAACCGACGAATTCCATCTTACGCCTAACTGGGTTCTTTGTTGGTTGTGTCACTGTTTTACTAACTCAAAAATTGGATTTCACTCAAGGGCAGTTTTTCCAATTTATCGTTGACCTGACTGGTTGGACAGGTGACCGGTTACAATACTGGTTTGGGTCAACCTTGAGCTCACTATTTCAAAAATAAATAAATAAACAAAACTGTTTATTAAAAAATAAATAAATAAATAAAACTGTTTATTCGATCAATAAATAAAACTGTTTATTCAATCAACTTCAGCCCATTGGGCTGGTTTTAAGGTCACCAGGTCCAACCCTAATAATTGGCTTAAAGCCGGAACCTGGATCGAGTCTTAGATCAAGCTTGATATATCCTCGGGCTTAGGCTGGGCTCAGGTTGGTCAATTAGGCTTAGACAATGACAGGCCTATTAGTATTACACCCAAATATTAAGAAGTTGCATGAACCTACTTATTATCAATAATTAAATTTTTAATAAAAATTTATATATTTTGCATATATGTATGCATGCATGTGCATATTTATGCACAGGGGTATTAATTAGACTGGATTTGGTCCAATGCAATCCAGTTCAATATGAATTCATTACAAATGGATCAGGTCTAGTCCAATCTGATGAATACCTTGGGTCATTTTGGATCGGTCCAATTCAATGTCTGGACTGTTCAATTTGTTTAAATTGGTTTTAATTTAGATTTGTTCCAATCCAAACCTGATCCATTGACACCTGTATTCTTATTTTCTATCAATGGACTGGATATTGGTCCAATCTGACCCAATCCAATATAAATCCATTACAGATGGATCAGGTCCAATCCAATTCAATAAAAATTTGGACCATTAAGTCTGGATTAGCCCAATTCAATATGTCTTATTGGTCCAACCAATCTATCCAAATTGATTTTGATTTGGATGGGGTCCAACCCAAAACGGACTTGGGAGTTGGGATACTAGGCTCAGCCCAGCCAAAAGAAAATTAGGACAATCGGGGGTTTTAGGCCCAGGCCTAGCCCAAGAACTGAAAAATTAAGTTGTCGTGTTGACATCCAAATCCAATTGCATGGATGATTGAACCGATGATCCATTGACCCGGAGGAGAAAACGGCTCAACCTCTAGACTGGGTTTTGAAACACTACTCAACAGTTGAGTTGAGTGGGATTTTCCCCTTTCCACAGTTGATTCAGGAAGTGGACGAGATTTTGTTGATCAAATCGAGTGAAGTAGGCCTAGTTCCAAGAGAACTCCATGAATTAGAACGTGGGTTTGCTAGAAATACCATGATGATCTAGCCTCTAGGGGCCTCATATCTAACTACACCAAACATCTGTCTCCAATCAACAAAGGAAAAGGTCAAGGCTTCCTTCCCTCGTCCCACATAAATGCCAGATTTGAGGCTCCAATGAGCAGAACCACATGCCACCATGGGTCCTGGGTTTGATGCTGTGTGCTACTTGTTAGCTTCAGACTCCAGACATTGGTGAATTAGCCTAGCCCAGTGATTTATCAGGTCCATAGTGCACATTGCATATGGCATACAGGTCCTATCAGTCAGTGAGAACATGGAAGCATAGGTAGGTATCCATCATGCTTCATGCCAACAAGATTCATGCATCTTCAGACTTCGGATACCAGACAACATAAGGAACCAGGAACTCCTCACATTGGAAGGGTCAACCATGAGGATTTTCAGGTTTCAGATACTATCTTGGTCTCAGTTTGCTCTAATAACTGCTGGATAAGTCATGCCCGGTTCTTTTGAAGGCTGGAATAGATTAGGGCTGCAAATGAATCAGTTTGGACCGAATATAAGATAACCAAATTTGAGTTGTTTATATTCCAATTCAAGTCGGGTTTGAATTGCAATCTGAGGTTGAATATCATTAATAAATTAAAATAAAAATGATCAAAATATTGTATACTATCAAGATAATATACCTTTAAATTGGATGGAATTAGATTATATTGGATCAAATAGGGGTGGATTCATATTCATACCAATTTATATGGATCAATTTTGGATCACCCTTGACCCGACTGAACTCAAATCGAATTCAGACAAACAGATATCATTTGCAGCCCTAGAATAGATTGATGACTAAGAAAGTGACCTAATGTTGGAAGCTGGAATAAGGGTTGGCCAGACGCCAACTGGTTTTTGAGACCTTACCAGTCCAAGCTCGGTGGGTAACTGGGTTGGGCCAGCCATGTTAACAAAACCAGGTCACATGCAGCACACAGAGAGCGACGAGAGGGAGAATTTGGAAAAAACGTTTTCAGTTTTTGGCCACAGAATGCTAAAGAGCAGTGTGTGACTCTTAAGTTGCCAAGTCTTGCATGCTGGAAGCAAGATACATGACCAATTTCTCATGTCGTGGGCCTAAACAATGTTTCCTGCAATAAAATCAGCCTTGTCAAATCATAGCTTCTGTCTATTTTTGGTTTTGATTCTGAGAATTAATTCTTTATGCTGTATTTGGTTGCAGTGCAAATTTACTTACACTGATGTAAAATTATGGCATTGCAAATGTTTAAGTGTAATTTTTGTTTCAAATTTTACCTTTGTTTGATTGCACTACTACAGATGAAGTAAAATATGACCTAAGTTGGAATAAAGTAAAATCCAAAACAAAATTAAACCAAAATTTATATTTTTTTTCATTTGCACTTCCATACAGTTGTACCAGTACAAATAAAATTGTACTGCAACCAAACACAACCTTAGCTCTTACTTGAATTTGTTGTTATGAGCAATAAAGCATGGCTGAGCATTTGCCAAAACCTTATATCATGGATTAGGTAGGATAATCTTCTGAACATGTAACAGAAAAATATTGGTCACAACTCCCCAGTGATCTCCAACTCATCTGACCTAAATTTTTGTAACTGGAATTAGTATCTGTCTGATCATTTTCAGTTAGTAGGACTAAATTTTGGGACGTGGGATCTCCTGTGCACGAGAACTCTGCCCATGTCTATTCATAATACACTATCCCCTGAATTGACAACATCTCCCCCTGCATACTATAAAGGAGGATGAGATATTCTCCATATGTGGTTGCGATGTTATATGAGCAGAAGTTCTTGTGGGTAAGAGATCTGGACTCAAATTTTGGAAGAGGAACATCTAAAAGTGGAACTGGCTAAACACCACCGTATATCCTAAAAAAATCATGTGGACCCAAATATTTATACATTTTAGATACTATTTATATATATTATAATTAATTTATATTTATTTTATTGCATGTGTATTCTGTTTAATATGACATTTTAAGTTGAAGTTTTATTTTGTATTATATCTAACAGTTAAAACCTTTTCTATCTAAATCATATAATTCTTAATTTATATTTGCTATCTTTTTGTAATAGAAACTAATGTATGAATGTTTAAATGAATATTCTCATGTTCAACTTTTTTCTTAGAACCAAGTGAAAGCAAATAAAAAAGAATTTGGAAATTTTCTTTGACTTTTATAGTATTAATAATTTCTATTTTACCTGTTTTTTATATTTGATTTAAAGAAAATCACACCTACTGTTTTTATATTGTAGATTGGTAGGTCCCATTGTCATGTGTCATGAGTGAACATATGAATGCATCGAGATGATATTCTAACATGTACATAAAGTGACACATTAGTATTATAATATTCAATAAGAAATAGAAAAGTCAAGATTTTTTTTTCTTTTTGGATTGAGATAAATATTATGAGAGATCTTTTGGTCTAACCAAATAAATTATAAATAATCAAATTTTGTTAAAATTTGAAGAATATAATAGATTATTATTAGAAGAGATTTGAGCAATGTACGGGCTGGTGTAAAAAAGATGCTCATATTTAATTATATATTTTTTAAATTAAAAAAGTACAAAATTTAGAAGGGTTGAAAAGCAATATGAAGTCTGGTGTGGACAGTATATATATATATATATATATATATATATATATATATATATATATANAGAAGGGTTGAAAAGCAATATGAAGTCTGGTGTGGACAGTATATATATATATATATATATATATATATATATATATATATATATATATATATATATATAATGTTGCGGAGTTGAAGCATACACCTTGCCAACTTGAGATATGAAGCGGTGAGGGGGATGAGGCATGGCTGTTTTTGGCTCCACCTTGCCTCAGCTTCTTCTAAAAACACTGATTGTAACTTGGGCTGCAAGGGGGATTCTCTGATTTGAAGAATTTCAACCATATCTGCTTGAGTTAGGGTTTGAGCTCATTGAAAATTTAATAAAATTTCAATCCAGTCCAACCCAAGTTGGAGCTCTACTTGTAAGAGGGCTCAGGAATCATACACACTTGTGTAACTCCTGAGTCCATTTAGCTATGACTTGTTTATGGAAGTTCATTAACCCTCTCTACTTGAACGGAGTGGGATGGTTCTCGGGGCGATGTACTATATTCAACTTGTAGTCTTACTGCTTTGACTTGTTTTTCTATACACGCTTGCCAAAGCCTGCTTAGTTCAAGACTAAACTTCGTACACAGAAAAATAGAGATTTTTTATTAAGTATAATTCCAGAAATTAAACTTCAGGAGAAAAAAATAAAATAAAATACGATAGCTGACATTAATATTGAAGATTACAGATATCGATACTGAGGAAAAAAAAAAAAAGATTAGAGAAACAAATAGAGGGGAAAAAGGGAAAAAAATTGCAGGTACCCAGACCTCTGACAAGGGTTTATACTTTGCACAGTTATGGAAAGGAAAAAAACCGAGATTTACAAAGCAGCAGAGGTGGTTGCTTGAACCCTATGTTTCCCCCCTTTCCATCTTAACTCATGACCATCCAACTGCTGAAACTACAATAATCCAGAGACACTTCTCCTGGACCAGCTCCCAAACTGTTAAAAGGAAAAATGTCCTGTGTAGATAGAATATATGGTTAGAGACCACAAGAAAATGCCTACAAACACAGCCGAATCCTTTGTGTCTCCCTTTCTTCTCCAATGATCCCTGATGATTGGGCATCTCTTTCTGTCAAACATCTTTTATATGGCACAAAACCCTTTGTGCACTTGTTAGGAATGGGTTTGAGCACAGAGAAAGCTGATGTTTCACTTGGTTTCAATAGAAAAACAGAGGCTGGTTCTTTCTCAACATCCTCAGAAGAAGGCTCTTGATTTTGAAAGTCAACAACATCCTCATTCTTCTCACCTACCCCAGCATCATTAGTTGAGGAAGTATTGGAACCAGTGCGAGACTCTTCCCTGTTAATGTCCTTTTTCGAAGTTTCTTCCAAACAAGTATCAGGATATGTTTGTATTGAGTTGAGGTTGAAGGATGGCATCACAGGATATGGAAGACCTCCATACAAGGCCCACCAAGGTAGAGTAGAAGAAGTGGCTTCTACTAGATTTGGGTCTTCTTTCTGGAATGGCATGCAGTAAAACATTGGGGGAGCTCCACAAGGCCATGGACTCCAAGCACTTCTGCTTGCCTCCATGGAGAAGTTTATCTGTGTAGAGTTCTGTTGTGGTGTTTTACCGGGTTTCTCATCATTCTTGTCACTGTCCTTACAGCTTTCAGAGGGCGGTGATTTTCTACTCCCAAGATTTGAAGAAGATGGCCTGTTGGAATCAGTAACCAACACTGTCCGCCCAAAGAGCTTAAGACTTATCATGGATGCTTCAGAGGTTGCGCCTTCTTTATCACATGCATTGTCTTTGGAACCCCAATCAACTTTCTGGAAATTAAGATTGACAAAGAAGAAAGAAAAATGAAAGACGTATTATCAGGACACCACTTTCCAAAGATCGTTATAAGGAGGTAAATAATACAAAACTACTAGGGAGTTCTTACCGTGGAAGATTGATCTTGTGGGCTTGAGGTAGCAGTTACTGGGACTGATGATGGATACCCACTATCTTCCTCCACCGATGAAGTGGATGGCAGGTTTCCATTCTCTTGTTCGGCAAGCACCAAGCTGCCAGGATTTGCATCGGCAGCAGATGAAACTGGTGATGGACTATCATTGTGTGGATTTGAAGCTACAGATCCAATTGTATCTGAAACAACTGTAGATAAAACTGATTTTGGAGACTGATTTGCTTCTGAAGTTGATAAATTAGGAGATCTGGACCTTTCTGGTTGCTCTGGAACTGAGATCCCCTTCTGAAGCGAGTGGACCAGTTTGCGAGGATAAGGATGCATGGGTTTCCTCTTTGGCCGAGGAGGAGGAATCTCAATTGGCTTCACAGAGCTTGCATTGCTTCCAGTTGACTCCCGGACCACCTGGACCATGAAGATACAACAGAGAGATGAGAGACAAATATACCAATTCTTAAAGAGTTAAACCCGCATAAGAACGCTTTGCACGCCTTGGGGTTATGATTGATTAACTTACTTTAAGGATCTGAGGAACAATTATGGTAGAAAATAGGTACTGGAAAAGGGCATTTAACCTTGGAGAAAAATTTCTGGGCATGGCTTCGAATCTGAACTGCAGTCTTTGTGCCCACATGTTCTGCAGAAATAGAGTGATTCCAACTTGAGATAGACAGGAAAGAAGGATAACAGTTGCAGGGGATATAAAATTCTTGAGCAGGAAACTAATCCAGAGAATAACAAATCCTTTAGAAGCTTACCTTCTATACGGCGCCAAGCACGGCCATACAACTTTAAAGCTTCCAGGAACTTCTTATGCTCCTCCTCCGTCCATCTTTCTCGCTGTTTGGTAATTGTGTAAGGCTTCCTGACCTATTGAAGCAGAAAATAGAATAACAAAGAAACAAAGGAACATTAAGTAAATAACTTTAGACACAGTACTTCAAATGCAGTAGATTTTGTAGGGCATATGAAGATTAAAACCTTGGGTGGAAATTCATCTCCACATGAATAGATCTCCTTTAGTTGGACTCCATTCAATGATTGTGCACCCACATCCAAACAAGTCTGGCTCCTTGCCATGGCAATTGTATTTGAAGTTGAGCATCCACTATTATCCTAAATACAAGGCAAAATGAGTAATCCAGTAAGAAACTCTATATGCCATTAGACCAGCAAGAATTCTATTGAATTTAAATAAGGCTGTTAGCAATGCCACATCAGACTACTGAATTCAAAGCAACTGAATTAAAGATTCCTTATCATTAGAAAAATCCGTTAATAGATCTCCACCTATGGCTATGATTATCATAAAACTAATGGACCCCAAATTTTAAACTTTCACTATCCTTCTGCCATAACTCATGAAATTCCATCCCGCAAGCCCAAAAAAAGCTGGAAATGGAAAAGCAGCAAGCACCAGAAAGAAGTTCCCAGTTGCAAAATCTAAAACATCATTTTATTTTGTTTAAACTTCATTTAATATGCATCTAAAATATTCATAAAGACTGAAGGCAACTATAATAGGAAACAACGGATTTAGAAGCAAATCTGTACAAAACAATGGATTAATGTAACTCTTATCCTAATTTTGGGACAATAATGAGGTTGCCGACTGTTACATGAAAAGGGTATAAGCATACATTTCCAAATGTTGCAAACAATCACTCCTTGACCATATCTACCTAGATTCCAAAATACATGCTAAATTTAAGCATTTAACTAGAAACAACTGAAAGTATGAGTATTTCAAGATTGCATACCTGAACAGTCATTGCAGCAGAGACCTCGGATCCCGCCAGTACTGAAGATAACCTTCTTGTCCCACAGAAGTTCTAGTGTCTTCCTTACCCAACTTGAATCAATGGAAAAAGTTCTGAAAAAAGTTATCTTTCTTCTAACCTTCCACAGATTCCACGGAATCGCAACACAATGTGCAAAGAAAAGCTCAACGCTTCCAAACTTACAGATTGGTTGCAGAAATCTTTATTCGGCAAAGAAATTCTTTACAATTAAACAGGGAAACCGAAAAACCACTTTCCCACCACAATCAGTGGACCAAAACCACAGAAGATCCAAAGCACAAAAAATTAGGTTCCTTCCTTCTGTTAATTTTTTCCGAAATCACAGAACCAGAGAACACCTTATTCATCTTTAACATTGATCTACAAAAAATAACGACTTCACCACTTCCTTGTATCAAATTTCCTCCCAGTTAAACTTCCCACAAACCCTATAAATGAACAATTTCACCAATCGATCAAAATAAACCCGTGTCCTGTTCACCAGAATCCCACCTCCAAACATTCCAGTGATTAACTTCACCAGAACCCCTTCCTAGAACAGCAGAAACCAACAAAAGCACTGATTTCCACCGCAAAATTTTAAAGAGAACACAAGCAACAGAAACAAATCTTACAAGCAGAAAAAACACAGGAAGAGAACTATGAATCAAACTTAACTTCGCAACTCATAACGACATTCCACCCCAACCAAGGAAAAAAAGACAGAACCCGACTCTCCAAACGAGCTTTTCTTCCAAGAAAGCCACACTAGACGAATCGATCTTCAGAAGCAGCACTGAACACAGCAAAATGTTCTTCCAAAACACCCCAAAATCATTCCTCCTTCCTTCGATCCATCCCCCCAAATTCGCCAAAAACCCAAAGCCACGTTCCTGAATGCTCCACCAGGAAAAAGAGAAAGAGAAGTGAAGAAGCGAGACTGTGACAGAGAGAAGCAAGAAGAAGAACAGGAACAAGAGAAAACCAGAGAGAGAGAGAGAGAGAGAGAGAGGGAGAGAGAGCAGAGAAAACAGAAAACAGAAAACGGAGACAATTGAAACTTGGCTTTAGAGGAAAAAAAGAAAGCAGGGGGTGCCACGTCAGAGATGAATTTTTTATTTAAGAAAAACTCATAGAAATTTCGAGAAATACATGGAATCTTGTGGCTCACGTCGCACTGGTATACCCGACACGTGGCGTCCCGTTGTCGTGTCCCCCGCTTTTTATTTCCGAGCTTTTTATTTTTGTGGGAGGCAGCGTTCTTAGACCGGATAAATCCCCCGATTAATCTCCATTTATTTAATATTTCTTGCTTTAATCCATTAAAAAAAATCTAAAATATCTCCAGCCTCTAAAAAAAATAAAAGAACCCGCGAGAGCGAAAGTTCATTGGCCCCGATTAAAAGCGAGCCCCTTTCTTCTACGCTTTTCTCCACGTCAGCAGCACTCGCCGCCCATATTTATCGAGAGCGCCACGCGTATTTTAGCCGGAGCCCGGAGACCGTTTTGGAAAGAGAAAGTGAGGAGAGAGAAAGAGATATGGATGGTTATGGACCACTCGAATGGGCTGAATGGGAATTAAGAAATCAGAAAAATCGATAGCCACATGTTTTTAGGGTTTGGGGAAGGAAGAAGCGCATGTGAGGTTGATTTTAATAAAGCGCTTACAGAGCTTGCCAGGTGTCCTCAGGGTGGAAGGTTCCAGTCAAAAATAACTAAATAAATAATTAATGAAAGGCGGATAATTTTCTAAGATATTCCAATTTCGTCTCAATTGGTGGACCCTACTGTTATCATCTCCTTTTGTCGCTTTGGGCTTTTATCCGCTGCACCCACTGGATACGGTATTAAGACCCACAAAATATAATAAACCTTGCGATTAGAGATGTTGGCTTGGTCGAAGGCTTTGGTTATCGCGTTAGTTAAAGGTTGGGAGTTAGGACAGTAGGTAGTGTCCTAAGCCCTAACTCCTAGCTTATTTGGTTTGATACGTCAGTGCGTGAATGGACGGTGATGGCCCACCACCCAAGTGGGTCCTACTGGGTAGATCTACTGCTCTCTCCACGAAGACCCTTTTACTAATGTTATTGTCTTTTGTAAGGACAAAGAAAAAGGTGTACCTAAACCACCGGATTTGGATAAGGAGAGAATTTGATCGTTGGATTGGAACCTAAGTCATGACAGCGTGTATGGCAGGAACTGTTGGAAATCTGGGGCAGCCCTAGAGATATTTATGTTTTTATAATGTTGATAGTATAAATGTAGATCTACGGCGTAAGGTACCACTATTATGAAGCTATTTAGCTGGAGTTGAACAGTGTGGTGAGACGTCAGCAGATTTTTTAGATGCTAGAGATTTCGGTATAGCGCTTGTGCACAGTATGATATAGAAATTACTTTTGTCTTTTTGCCAAGAAAAATAATTATTTATTTATTAATTTTGCAAAAATTAAAGATTCCGAACTAGTGGGTTTCAGTTGGCTGTGGGACCCAGTGGCACTTTTCCTTTTAAAAGGGTAATGTGACGCTAATATGTAGCTCGGTTCGTGGTTGGCGTAAGAGAGCGAAGATGAGTGAGCCCACGTGGGGAGCTTCTATTGGCCGTGCGAGTTGGAAAGATATTAACGCAATAATAATTTTAAATTCTTGACACCACTAGAATTGCAACACTTGGGCCTAAGTGGTTGGTGGGGTACGGTGAGTGTGGGTCCCAGCTTTGACAATAACTTCAACCGCATTTTGTAGTGGATCTAGCCAATGCTTACATGTGGCCAGCAATGGATTGGTAATGGCTTATAGGCCATAACCCGCCACGTACCCAATAACCGATATATCCCATCCTGATGGTGGGGCCCATAGTCAACACTGACATGGCGCAAATTTATTACGGAGTTGTGCGGTTTTAGGATTTTCAAACCGAGCAACGTGCGGGATTGGTTTAGTACTGCACGCGAAACGCGCTACAGACAACTTGATCTCCCTGTTAATAAGGTAGGGAAATGGAACCGAACCTGACACATGCCAAATGTACTAATATCTAAGCGTGTCAATTGGACTGGATTTGCTTCGATCCGATTCAGTATAATGTGAATTCATTACAAATGGACCAGATTCAATTCAATCTAATAAATATTTTTGATTAATCCAATTCAAATATTTGGACCGTCCAATCTGTTTAAATTTGTTTAAATTTACGTTAATTCTAATTTAAACTTAGTCCATTAACACCTATATTCTTATCTTCCATCAATAGATCAAGTATTGGCTCAATCCAACCCAATCTAATATAAATTCATTATGGATGGACCAGATCCAATCCAATACAATAAATATTTTAGACCGAACCGACTGGTCCAATTTAATATATCTTATTGGTCTGTCTAATTCATCCAAATTGATTTTAGTTTCGAAGGGATAATCCAAAACCGGCCCATTGACACCCCTGTATTAAATCTCTGTGTTTACTGCATGGGCTCACTCATTTTAATCCAAACCTGATGAAGGATGACTAGACTCTAACCTGATAGTCCCATGAATCCGACCCACCGACATCCCTGTGTTTACTGCACTTCAGAGCAAGATTTATTTGTTTTTTATCTGCTAAGTACACAATTGCGATGCAAGTATGCAACCAAGGTTCAAAATATGTTACGTGATTGATTCAAAGGGGCGAAATACAGAAAAAAACGCAAGTCAGAAGACTATTTTGATATTTTCCATAGAATATGGCCATTTAACCTAAGGTGGCGTTTGGTTCTATCAGCTTTTTGAAAAATAGTAACAAAAGCATTAATGTATGCTATTTGATTAACTATTTTTTTTTCAAAAAAGATAAAAAAAGTTATTGCTGTTTTCTCAAAAATAGACCCATCTAATATTATGAGAAGGGTGATGTTGCAAGGAGACCTTGTACATACGAAGTCATTATCAGATAGTACATGGAAATCTTGTTGTCTGTATGAATTTGTAAAGATGCCTCTAGTTTGCACCATGCTTAATGGTAGCATTGGTCTTATATTTGTCAAAATATCTGGCAAAGACCAGGTGTCAAACACTATAAGGCGTGTGAGGAAAAGTTGATAACGATATTGATTGTAACTAGCGTTTCTATTAATTAAAACAAAAATTCATTTATGCAAGATTAGAATTAATGATTTTATTAGGAGAACCCGCTGGCTTGTATTGGAGATTTGAAAACCAAACCCGTTTTTCTTGGGCCATGATTTGTAGGAAAGAAGAAAATAAGAGAGAAAGAGACTTGACAAATTTTGTACAATTTTTTAAGAATTTTTTCTTTTTGTTTTTCATTTTCTATCAAATCAAGCACAGCCTGTACAAGTTGGGCCCCAACATTGTGGGGTCCATTCAAATTTTAACAAATGTCCAATGGGAAACTGCCAAGGGGCCGGGTAGGTCGGACTTGGGTAAGGTTGTCAACGGATTGGGTCTACTGACCTGATGGAACTGAACTGATCGAGCCAATTATGTTGATTCTGATTTTGTGGTTTTGTTCCTTTTAATAATTGGGTCGGGACTGGTTCTTATTGTTTTGAATTAATTCTGATCTGAACTAATATATAAATGCCTCCTTTTGTTTAGCTTTTGTTATATTTTATGTCCAAAAAGATAAATTTCATAGTTTGTGTATGATAATTTTGGTTAAAATATTTGTTTTATCAATATATCATTTTCATTAAGATTATATTGTCAAAATAAAAATTCTAAATTATTATTATCATAGGTAATTATAAAATCTCAGGTATATTCAGGTCTAGTCAAATCTGACGACCCAATTCTCTAAATTAATAAATGGGACAATTTTGAGTCTTTCATATAGAATTGATTAATAATCAGACCTAATCAGATATATAGAAAGGTTTTTTCTTTGAAATTTCAATTTCAATTAGATTTTTGGCTATAAATTATGGGAACAACTTTATGTGCATGGATAAGGCTGCTGCATACATGGTTTGCTCCAATTTTTACTTTCATTACAATGACGAACCTTTTAATGATGTTAGAAATAAGTGAGAAATTAATTCATTGCTCATATATCATTTTCATGCTTTTAAAACAAAAATCAATCTGTTCTATCATATGAGACTAATCCATTGCCCTACGAGATCACTTCAGTGGCCTTTATGTTTTTGTTGATTTGAGATTTGATACATTATTTAATGGCCCAGATTAGTTGAAATCTCACCTATCAAAAAAAAAAAAAAAGAGAGAGAGAGAGATTAATTGAAATCTGAGTATCACTTAGAACATGTTTGGAACCAATGTGGTTTTTTCAGAAAACAACACCATTCAGTGCCTTGAAGGAGACTCGGTGTGAAAATCATGCCTATTTGATTAGATGTTTTTTTCCATAAAACATTTTCTTAGATCATGTCTTAAAAATTGAGAAAGGCATAGTCTGCAAAAATGTCGTATTTTGACGTTTTTCTCCTTTTTATATAATTGCTAAAAACAATTTGTTGATGTAACATTAAAAAAGACTTAAGCAATAACAATTGTCCCAAACAAAAAAAAAAGTGTTGTTATCTGAAAATAGGGTACAACATAACAATGGAACAATGGAACACCATTTTCTCAAAATAGGGTACAAGAGAAATGGCACGGGTTCCAAACATTAGCTTAGTTGATTGACATTAATCCATTGATCTAAGGAGATTGTTTTAGGCTGCATCTGGAATTCCTTATTTTATGAAATTATCTCCTTTTTTATGGTTAAAATGTCCTTATCAACACTGAATTTTCAACAATAAAAAGTAGATAAATCTTTTAGGCGAATGCCAAATGCAGCCTTAATGCCTTATATCTATTCATTTGGTATGTGGACTGGGCAAGAAAACTTACCTCAAAAACGGGTGTTCTGCTTGATTGAGAAGGGGAAGTCTATTATGTATTCAAGGACCCTTCATGGATTTTGAAGCTAATGGATGCCGACTTGTCTTGGGACATGGTCAAAGTTAAGAAGGATAGGCTCTTGACCCTACAGCCAGTGAAGCGGTTACTC